GACGCTATCAAAGCATTCTTGGCCGCTGGACGGAAAGCGACCCCTCAGCAATATCGAGCTGCGAGAACTGCAATTCTGGCGGCTCAGTCTGCCGTCTTGGAAGAATTAGAAACTCGACATCTCCCAAACTTTCGAAAGTCCGATCTTTACTACAAATTTCTGGCTTCTGCCGAAGCAGCCGCAGCACGTCCTCGGATGCAGAGTACAGGTAACCTCGCTGAGGGGAACGGGCAGGTTGGAGCCGACGTTACCAAATCCTTGTCCCAGGCTCCTCCCATGGCCCGAACCAGTTCACAACTTGCTACACGGAACAAAGATCTTAGGCGGGCTGCTGTATCTTCGTCAGATGTTCGAAGCTTGGCGTCTTCAAAGTTGTTTGACGATGGAGATTTTGCCAAACGATCTGGGGGATCAACGCCACTGTTCGACGATGGTTATGACACTGATCCATTGGCACATTCCACCCACAGCCTCGGACACGAGTCCTTGAATGGTGATTCCATAGATCAGCGCCAGGTCATTGAGAACATGGAGGCAGCCATGAACAACATCATGACAGATAGCCCGATGGACGAGACCATGGGCTACGACGATGACACCCTGTTTGGCTCCCCAGTGTCAGCGTCCAAGTCTTCGAAGAACATTGAGTCGCCGCGCAGCTCTCTCGATATTCCCAGCGCCGAACAGGCAAACAGACCCAAACCCAGCCTGGCAACGTTGGGACTTGTCAACACTTCATCTCGTATAGGCGTGTTTACGGACAATGACCTTTTTCCTGACGAAGAAAAGTTCATTGAAGATGAATATGTCGACAATGACGAAAGCAAAGTTGATCATGTAGAAGAAGACGAGATCCATGAAGCTGCGCCAGGAGATCTCGGCCTTGCGGAGGCCATTACAGCTCTTAATAATGATATAGAACGTCTGGTGGCCCAGGAATCGGTGGTGGACACATTGACTCGCAAGGCTGAGCTAACGAATAATGTCGCGGAGCTGCGAATTCTGAATAAGTCCAAGTCGAGTCTCCAGAGGGAAATTCGCCGGAAGGAACTTCAGCGTCAGCAATATATTGTCCAAGAAAGCGACAACAGTTTGTATGGTCGATCAAGTATCTCTATCAAGTCTGTTGTCGTGGGGAAAGAAGACGATGGGCGAGAATTTGCCTTGTACGTTATTGAAGTTCAGAGGCAGGCTGGTGACCAAATGCCGGCCGCAGTGTGGGCGATTCCTCGACGATATTCTGAATTCCATGAATTACATCAACGATTGCGACGCAGATACCCTTCAACGAGGGATCTCGAGTTTCCTCGGAGGAGGGTTGTAATGAAACTTCAAAAACAATTTCTCCAGAACCGGCGTCTCGCGCTTGAGCATTACTTGCAACAACTGCTCCAGATGCCAGACGTATGTCGAAGCAGAGAATTACGCTCCTTCCTCTCGCAATCGAGCATCAAGTCGCAGCAGGACACGAGTAAGGAGTCCAATGCACAGGATATCGTGAGCCGGATTTATAATTCCGTCACCGAGGGCATGGATGAGTTCCTGGGAAATGTGTCGGTCCTGGATCAGCTGTCTGTAGCTGGGCAGAATCTGATATCGGCTGCTACGAACCAGTTGGGAATGAATCAGGCAGATATTGTTCCTCTGGAGCCTGGTCCGGTGGCCGAGGCTGAGGCTGAGTTGGCGGCTTTTGAGGACAAAGAACTGGAACCCTTCGTGAAGCCAATTTGTGACATTTTCCTGGAAACGTTTGAGCTGAATCGAGGAAACAATTGGCTCCGTGGTCGCGCCGTGATTGTGGTCCTCCACCAACTGCTCGGAGGAACCATTGAACGCAAGATCCGCGAAATATTCACAGGTTTGGTGCAAGAGGAGTCACTCCTCAGGTACGTCGACATGATCAAGGAGACCATGTGGCCCGGCGGTGGTAAGATGAGAGAGGCAAAACCACGGACCGCTGCGGAGAAGAAGAAGTCGAAGTCGGAGGCAGCACTCATGTTGGCCACGCTGATCCCTGACCTGGCTGGCAATGTGGTGGGAAGGGCCAACGCGCAAGCTGCTGCCAGACGAATCACGGCCACCATGAACAACGCGCGACTGAATCAACACCTTGTCTTTACGATTCTGGACGAGATCGTCGGAGTGCTGTTTGATCCTTCGAAGAAAGGGGGGTTCACCTGATAATTGATCTGGTTAGAGCGTTGGAGCTTGAGCGAACACGGACTGTATTTTTTCTTGTATGCGAAGGTCGGGGGGCGTTGACACGAGCCTCGAATTGGGTCTGTACATAGAGATAGATGAAAGGCGTGCTACACATCTCGACGTATTGTGTTTGACTGCCATGATGCGACGTGAACATCAGTGATGAGATGTGCGACGAGCACTCGTGAATTAGACTTATACACGTACCTCATACATGCACCCATATCTAGGCCCGTGCCTATATGGCGAGGTAGATATTATCTCTCATCTATTTTACCCATGGACATACATACCTAGCAACCGATCTACGCAGCTACCGATCTAGCCTCGTCCCCTTGAGCACCAAGCCGCGAATCCCTTCCAGACCCTTCTTGAGCGCCTCGGCGAGGATGAGGCGGGTTTTCTGCAAGCCGTGCTTCCTGACGAAGACGATGCTCCACAGCAGGCCGACGATACCAAAAACCCGCAGGACGCGCGCGGCGGCCAGCTTAGCGGCCCCCTTGGGCGTGTACTTGAGGTCCCAGTGGCGCCAGACGGGGAACATGCAGCGGATGGTGAAGTCGACCTGTGTGCGCGGGTATGCGGTGGCGTTCCAGTTGGAGGCGGCGTCGGTGTACCAGTTCCTGCAGCCGCCGGACATGAAGACGCTCTTTTGGAGTTCGCGCTGTAGGTCGGCGGTCCATTTGCGCTCGGCGCTTTCTTTCACCTCGGCCGTTTCGACGTCACCCTTGAGGATAGGCCCGATGAACTTCAGCGCGTAGTTGACCATGTTCTCGCTCGCCAGGATGACTGAACTGTGGCCCGTCGCTGTGTTGGGGCCAAAGATCATGAAGAAGTTGGGGAAACCGTCCATCGCGGTACCCAGGTATGCTTGTGCGCCGCCCCGTTCGTCCCACGTCCTGTACAGAGACCGGCCGTTGCGGCCCGTGACGTCCAAGGGGTGGAGCCACTGGTTTGTCTCGTAGCCGTTGGCCATGATGATCACGTCCGCTGGCACCGTGCGCTGTTCGGTCGGTGCGTTGGAATCGGTCTTGGACAGGGGCGGGTACAGTCGACCCGGCCCCAGGGTCACCGACCGTGGCTGGATGGACGTTAAAGGAAGCGTGGTGATTTCGACGTTCGGCAGGGATAGGGATTGATACCACCCTTCGTCCACGACTCGTCTCTTGCAAAACACTTCGTAGTCTGGGGTCATGATCTCGTGATACTCCTCCGGGACCGTCTTGTGGAGGTACGCTAGGAGCTCCGCGGCCTTCTTCTTCCGCCTCTGCCTCGCGGCTTCGCTAGGCGCGAACAGTTCGACGAATTCAAGCTCGCTCACGGCGAACATCAACTTGCGCAGTCCGTTTTGGAAGCCCGGGACATACGTAGACAGGAGGGGGATCCATTTCTTCCAAAACTCCTTGGCAGCGGGAGGAAGGAATTGCACTGCCCAGGGGGGTGAGCGCATCAGTTGAGTGACGTGTTTGGCGCCGTATTCGGGCTTGACGAGTTGAGGCACGACTTGTCCTGCCGAACAGCCGGTGCCGATGACAATCACGTCTTTGCCCCTGACATCCAGGTCGGGGTTCCAGCGCGCCGTGTGGACGATTTCGCCCTCGAAGGTGTCAATGCCGGGGACTTCGAGGGGTGGTTTCGGCTCGACCAGGCCGCCAACCGCGCTGCAGACAACCTTTGCCCGGACGACCTCTGTGCGCAGGACCGTCTTTGAGTGTGGTCCGTTCTCTTTCTCCAGCGCTTCCCTTTCACGGGTCGACAAGTCGCCTATGCCCGGCGCGAGGTGGTCGAGCAGGACTTCCCACTCCTCGACGTCGTCCAGCCAGCGCAATCCCCTGACCGAGGTGTCGAATTGGATCTTGTCCAGGATCTCGAATTTCTCGCACACGTCGTAGAGGTATTGGATGATCTCGGGTCCGGAAGGGAACAACGATGTCCAGTGGGGATTCTGGGCGAAGGAGAACGAGTACATGATGGCCGGGCTGTTTTTGTGCGCCTCATGTCAGAATTGGAGGGATCAAGGGGGGGAGGGGGGCAGAGGAGGGAAACAAACATACACGTCGCAAGCAATGCCCGGATACTGGTTGGTATGCCATGTCCCTCCCAGCGCAGACCTCCGCTCAAAGATGCGGAACTGATCGAACCCTAGCACCTGTCGTAGCCTGGAGCCCATTGCAATGCCAGACTCGCCGGCCCCGATGATGAGGACGGGATAGAATGTGTATCCAGACTTGTTGGCAGGGCCCCCATGGCGAATGCGGTCGACACGGGCCGTCATTCTGCAGGACAATAGAACAGTTCAGACAGGACGGTGGAATCAGGGAGCAGGAGGAGGATCCAGAGAGAAGAGGTAGAGAAATCGGAAGAATGGCCAAAAAGGAACCTGTCACTCACCCGCTGCTCAGCAGGACACCAAGGAGAGGTGAGGTGCGACTGGTGAGTGGTGAGAGAGAGGATGAGATGCATTGTTAGAATATGTAATGAGATACTACTACCAAGTACAGAGCTGGGGGGTTTCGTCCACCGACGCACCGTCAGGCAACCAACCCGATACCTCGTCCACATCGCATCTCGCGCCATCTGACGCCGAACGACCTGCGCCGAGCAGCTCACACATACTGTTTTACCGTAGTAGCTTGCTGGCTCGCTGGGTCCACACTAGAGGTAGGGTCTTGGTAGGTCTTTGGTTGGTACTTGATACGTACGTACTCCCTCCTACAGACTATATCCAATCGACATCGTTTTCTACACGAGCCACAACACGAAGGGCGATCCGAACCCCGAAAATAGAGGGACAACAGATGCCATGTCGCGCCCTCGGGACAAGGGGCTTCCCAGCTCTTAGACGACACCAATCTTTCCCGACTTCCCTCATACCGCCTCATCGTCGATCCGGGACTTCCACCAAAGGCATTCGGGAGGTACCCCTCCTTTCGTCGTGGAGCTCAGCCGTGTTTGAACACGCCTACAGGCAGCGTCTCCCTGCTCGCCTCCCTCGCTCAAGGGCACATCTTCCCGCCGCGTGTGCGAAATGGTTCGTTCACGACGATGACCTGGGCTTTGATCTTTTCAGCGGTGATGATGGGAGGATGATCAACGTCCCTCGCTCGTCTGAACTACGCGCTTCATTCTGGTCCGAGCATGAATCCACCTTTGTCCCATTGGAGATAACTACCACCAGAGGTGCTTCTACTTCTCCTTCTTTTTATCATCTTGCTGGTGAGCGTGCCAGCAGCGCTCCGGGCCAGAGCGAGGAGAGATTCGAGCGCATCGAGGCCCCCTTGAAGATCCTGATCGCGTATCTCTCCAAGCCAACAACAACAGGAACCACTGCCGACTCTTCCCCACTGGCCAAGGAGGATGTATCAATCTACCTCGCGCAGTGCGATCTCCTCTCCCTCCCGGCTTCAATGCAGTCCGACGTGCCTATTCCCGCACTACTCCACCCTTCTTCCACTTCCTCTTCCCGCAGCGCAATCAAAGGCGACATCTACACATCCTCCCTCTGGCTGGGCCGTCCCCCGACATACACGCCCTTGCACCGCGACCCGAATCCGAACCTATTCATCCAGCTGGCCGGCCAAAAGACCATTCGCCTCTTACCTCCGGACATCGGCGATGCATTGTTTCACGACGTCGTCACCACCACAACGTCGTCTCCGACCATGTCTCCTTCGGGCCCAACTCCATTCTCAACAACCATCAGAGGCGAAGAGATGATGTACGGACCGCAGAAAGCCGCGCTCCACGACGCCGTCTGGAATCCGTCGAGCATCTACAGCGACCTTGTCCGGACCCATGGCTTGCAGACGACGTTAGGACTGGGCGACGCACTCTTCACGCCCCAGGGGTGGTGGCATAGCGTCAAGGGGGTGGGTGAAGGCGTAACGGCGAGTGTGAATTGGTGGTTTCGCTGAAACCTTGAGAGATGCAGAGCACCCATTGAACCCAAGGCTGTCAGTCAGTCGGTGAACCCTGTTGTCCGATCGTTTGGGAGATGCTTATTTGGCCAGTTCTATGTTCACGTCTAGACGAGGAGAAATCGTTTGGTAGGGGAAAGCTGCGCCTCAGCCAGGTAGCGCCCAGACCAAAAGCAATATTTTCGTACAGATTGACGTTGCCCTTCCTTTTCTTCCCAACAGTACATGTATTGCGCTGTCAACGCCGGCCCCAAAGAGGTGAACCGTCCGTCCGCACCTGGGTGGGCATCGGAGCCTTCCCACGTGACCAAAACATCATCCTCCTTGACCAAATTCAACACCCAAACATAACTGGGCATGTCATCCCTTCCACCAGCTATCCAATGTGTCACTCTGGCTAGCTCTCCGTTTAATCGTCGACATTTATATCTGCAATCCTTCTGCGCAAGATCCATCTTTTTGGCTGACATCTCCCGTCCGTTCTGAAGCTCAGAGAGCAATACCCGACTACAGCTCAGACCGTGGCGTTTCCGGTGTGGCAACACCGTTCGAGAGCAAATCTCGGGCCCCGGCCTCGAAAAATTACTCTCTGCGCCGATCCTCGCCAGCCGCCTTCCATGGCGGACAAGAATGCTATGATCATTGAAGCCTTGTCTTTGAGCAGACTCCATGATGTGAGGCCGGACGACCTCGCCTATTTTATATCGGGGAACGTCGACCCGTAAGTTGATGGCCCAGGACGGCAAATCCGCACCGTTGGCACTTCTATCTTGAAAAAGGCAAAGACAATCTAGCGTCCGCTCATGGTTAATGGTCTGCTTCAAAAAGGCCTGAAATACTAGAGAGACCGGCTTGGTGTGGTCGATGGGGGGAAGCCCTCGCTATCATCCGGTTCAGCGGTGCGGTATGATGTGTGCTTGGCCTTGGGCACGATACCCAATGGCGAAAAGACCTTGTTCTGCGGCAGCGTCGTCTGGTAGATGGTGCTGCTCATCATGACTCTAAACCAATCCCCTGGGCTGCTTCTGAACTGGAACTTGTTCAAGAAGGAACCATAGCGAAACAGTGTACGAGACTCTGAGTCGGTCCGGTTCGCATAAACGGAGGTGAGACCCCGGGGGAAGTAATCGACGAAGGCAACCTGTGAACTGATCAAAGGAATTCTTGTCGTGTTCAACGACCGATTCCAAGGGTTCGAGTGGCATAGTACTTCGACCCTAGTCCAGGAGCGCTGGAAGAAGGCCTTTGGCGGTGATCAGCTTCATTGCGGCAGCTTGCGCTCTGGAGGAACCCGTGAGATTCTCATCGGTTGCCGTACTTTTGTCTTCGCTAGATCCACTGATGTTCCGCAACATGTATTGGAAGAGGAAATCGACTTCCTCTGAGTAAAGCCGCTTGCGTACATATAGTGGGACGCTACGACAGTCGAACTCGACAACAGTAGCATCTGGAGGACTGGGAGAGGGCGGGTTGGTCAAAGTCTTTTCCGTGTTTCGCCGCTGGAGATGATAAGTCGCTCCTTTTGGTCTCCCTTTTTTTTTTGGAAACTGCATCAACATCTATGGCCAAAGGTTCAGATGCAAGTTGGTGAGGCTGCTTTTGTCGGTTGAATGGCTGTTCCATGTTCGACCGAGGGGAATGTCGCGGCCCTCAGACAGCCTTGTATAGACCAAGAGAGAGAAGAATATAAATAGCTCACGAATGATGCCGGGCTGGAAGGTAAAAAGAAGGTGACGTTGGGAGAAGACTTGGCAAGATGGATGCGGACAGCGCGCTCCCTGTATACAAGCTCAGCCTTGCGCACACACCATGCGGGTTTGGTCCAAACACATCTCATGGACCCAGCACAGAATTGTCTGTTACCTTTATATTTTTATTGCGCTCAATTCCTGTCACACAAAGACCCCCTTACCACGACTAGGGCGATTACCGAGACCGATCGATTCCCCATCCACACCCAGTCCAGGCCCTGTCAGGTCGAACTAGCAATAACGGGTCAGCAGGCAGCAGGACCTCGATTCGATTCTCCCACCGACTCACCCGACTGATCGATTCGTTTGACTGTATAGAATTTCGTAGTATAACCGGCCGAGAAAATCCAACCCCAAAAGGGGCGAGTTTCGCTTATCACAGACCAGAGGTTGACTGTTCCGTGTTAAGTTTTTACCATTTTTGGTTCTTGTTATTTTTTCGGATTTTTGATTTTTGTGAGTGAGATCGTGGGAAGGAAAATAGTATGAAGAACTGACGCCAAGGAGGAGGGAGAGGAGGAGAAAGGGAAGGAGTGAAGACAATGGATGGATGTAATGGAGGGTGTCGTTGCCAGATACTGCCCTTGCCCATCCATCCACTATGTATAATAATAACATGAAGTCCGCCCTCTTGCCAGAATCTGAATCAATATCCCAAATCACTCGAATTGCGCTTTCCCATTCGCTTGCTTCTCGGCCTTGATTGATCCTGGACGTCAATTGACCTCCATTGCTCCTCTCGTGTTGCCGTCTGCGAATCTTCGGCCATGTTATGTTCCTATGTCTTCTAGCGCCCCCTGCTTTCCATGCTGGTTCTGTTGTTGATTTCTGCGGTTCCTGGGTTTAGATTTTTCCTCTTATTGCAACGCACTTGAGCGACTTTGGGCCGTGCGGCAGACGGACGGGTTGGCGAGTCGAGCGAGAAACCCAAACTTCAGGACCTGTACTTTCGGTTCTCTCCTCTCACAGACTGGCAAAGGTGCTCCGGGGCAGTGCGCGAGCTCTGAGTTGCTGGTTATGCTTCCGCGAAAGAAAATCACTAAACTTGTCAGAGTAGACGCCTTTCCGGACTGCTAACTCGAAGACATGCTTCTCCCCTTATTTATTTCATCCACACGGTCAGTTGGTATGCTCACTCGCGCCGTATAGCCTTCTGGGGTCACCTCTTCCCATTCAGTCTTGTTCTTATCGTCAGCATCATCATCATCAGCCGTCTATCTTCACGTCCTGTCGTCTTCATATCCAATTTCCCTCTCCGTTCTGCTGGACAGGGACGTCGACTCCCTGACCTCTTGTCCCCGGCTTTCGTCTGGATTTGCCTCGATTGCCGCCTTGACTTTGACTTGCCATCAATGCATCCCCATCAGCATCAGGCTCTCGTTTTGACTTGCCCCGCTGGCTACTGTGAATGCTGGCTACTTGGTTCTGACCCTGGGTGGCCATGATCGCATCTCCGTCCTGGTCAGCTGCTTCACCACCTCCGTCATCCCCTTCTTCTTCCTCCCCCTCCTCTTCTTCTTCATCATCGTCGTCTTCGTTGTCCTGTCTCCCTCCCGGTAGACGCCGCATTTCCTCATCCGGATCACCATCAACGGTGCCGCCATAGCGTTCATGCCATATTCTCGCTTCGTCGAGCTCATTGATGTCCAGAGGTTTTGAGCGCAGCCAGCGCATTCGAGGCCCACTCTTCGCTCTCTCTGAAACTTTGAAGCCGTAAATTTTAGGTTCATAGATCTTGCCTTTTCCTAAACCTGGTGCAAGGTTATGCGTCGCGATCCCATTAATTGTGGCTGGTTGCGGAGGTAACGAGGCCTGAGCAACAGAGGTTGCTGATGTCTTCTCGTCTTTCGCTGATGTGATACCAGGGATTGGTGGAGCTTGTGGTAACGTCAAGCTCGAACTTCTACTGGCCGTTATTCCTCCACGCGTTGCGTTTCCTTCGTTGGGACTCAATGTGCCTTCAAGATCATCATTCGCCTGGCCGCTGGGGTCTCGAGGATTTCGTTTCTTGACCGGGGCAACGTCTAGATCCGGATAGGACATGAAGAACAGACATGGGAACGTCGTTCCAAAAAAGGCACCGTCGACCGCCTGGAATCGAGAATTCGGAGGGGTGTAGACGTCCAAACAGCTCGGACAAAAGAGTTTGACCGTCTGTTGGCCAGGGGTGTCCGTTAGCCCGACAGGTAATACTTTTGCTCCTGCGCAATACACGCGAGGACAGAAGCCAAAATGCGACAATTCGTACTTCTCCATCATTTGCTGTATCCCAGGTCTTGAAGTAATGTATCGAGCGTGTATCAGACCATAGAGAAGTTCCGCCGATGACTCAATGACAGAAGTGTCAGAGGAGGTACGCCCGTGTCTTCTGTTGCCCGCGGGGCCGCCAGACTGTCGCCTCGACGTCCCGTTTGGATTAGCAGCTGGCTCGTCCAACTCGTCTCCCAGAATGCCATCGTCTTCTTCTTCCTCCTCTTCCTCCTCCTCTTCTGACAGTGCTGAAGAATTGGTTTCTGAAGGCTCCACATCAAGTATCATTTCCAGCGCATCCTTATACATGGGCACCTGAGCTTGCAGCCCTGTCAGGTTGAAATCATCCTCGATGAAATCTTCACTGACTTCGGCGAAATATTCATGGCCAACCAAATTACAGAAGGTGCCGATCCAGCTATCTGGACTCTGGGACGAGGTTTGAGACATTGCGTTTGAGAGAGTGGCAGAGGAGCTGGTAAATTGCTGGTAGTAGAGGGACTCAGAGTATTCGGAAGCAATTTCGAGCCTGTCCAGGCCAGCGGCCAGGGCGGAGGCCTGTTCGGCAGACAGATTGGGATAAAAGTGGTGTTCAAGAGAGAATCTTCTGTCTGTGAGGCCTTAGCTTCCCAGGGGAAGGTAAGACGACGAGAAGACTGGGGAGAGGATTGGCGCGGGGTGGGAGGGGTCAGGAGAAGTGCCAGGTTGGAACGGGGGGCGGCATGGGGGAGGTTTGCAATGTTGTTTTCGTTTCTCAGGGCGTGACGTCTCGTAGATGCTTTCGCTGCCTGCCTTCTGGGAGTTTGCACGAGGGGATATGGGTAGCGAAGAGGCGGATCGACCCAGGGGGTGCCTCGTCGGGCTGTGTTGATTCAGGAGGAGGGTTTAGGAAAGCCGCGAAGTCACCCAAAGAGCAGTTTGGGCTGCCTTGTGCGTGGTAACGTGCACTGTTCTGCGTGCTTGAGGCCAAGGTAAAACACTGTGCTTGATTGCGAA